ATGCCCCCAGCCCTGATACCCCCCCACATCAACCACGATGCCCCACGGGACAAAATCAAAGGGGTTTACCCATCTCCACTACGGGTTGGAGCCAATCAAAGAAGCCCAGAAAGATTGTTCTGATGTGGAGGTACAGGCTATCTCAAGACTGATGTAATCCAACAAAAGGTCTTTATACTGTTTAATACTAAGAGTATTTTTATTTTTCCAATTCATGAATATAGTTTTTTTGCTATACAAAAAGCAGTAAAAATCATGTGAATTGACTTTGTCTCCAAGGTGACATCATCTAAGTGGCCCAATAAGCAAACTGACAGAGAGAGTGGAATATTACCTCTCCGACACTTTGATAAGTCTTCACATATCCGGCACCAAAACCTCTGAACAGGTGGACAGAACCAAAATGCGTGGATGTAATTGTCAGGAATATTGTCTGTACACTGTGAGCAAACATTAGATGATGCGAAACCCATCCTGAACATCCGTTGACCTGTGTAGTATACTCTATGAAGTCCAAAAAAGTTCAATCTGGTCCTCTGGACATTCAAAAAAAAATACAAAAAAAAAAAACAAAGCAAAAACATATAGAAACGTTTCGTCTCTCATCCAAGAGACTTCCTCAGTCTGAGGTGCTGTATTCAGCTCAGTCTCTTAAATAGCACCTTCTCAGAGTGGATCAACCAGTTTGCTGCTGACAACCAAAACCAGCTGATCACATGCTCAAGAAGGACCATCAGCCTAACAATGGATCATTAGCACGAGCATGCGTCAGGGTACTCTATGAAGGATTTTGTATTGTATTAATTGTAAATTGGGGTCTTTAATCATCTTAAAAGTTCTTAGACATATCTAAGACCAGAAGTTTTGGTCAAAGTTGACTGACAATTCTGTCTCTCATTTTACAATGGGAAGGGATATTGATCCATCTATTTTAATGAGTGTCCGGTAAATCTTAGATAGTAATTTGGGAGTGTTAAGATTTAGGAATTCTAATACACTTGTTGTTATTTCAATTCTAGTGTTATTAAGGTTAAATTTATTTTTTCTTATAGATTTAATTTGTTGATATTCTAAAAATTTATTCTTATCAATGTAGAGGAAAACGGTTCTCAGATCGTTGAATTTTTATTAGTAATTTTATTCTGAAGGGGCACCACTTGCTTCTGGTTCTGAAGCAAGAAAATTATTAATCAGACTCAGTTTGTGCGCTTAAAGAGTTATTTTCTCGCGTTTAAAGGGCATTCAAAATCAGTTAATACACACAGGTATGCCAAAATAATCACAAATTTATTGGATTTTATGTATTTTATTACAAAAATAATCATCTGTGATATATCTGATGAAGATTATGCATAAAAATGAATACACAAATTAATAATAAAATAGCTTTGTATCAAAGATCTACTTGATTATTAAGTCAGTGTAACTTTTATTTAAAGGCAGAATTTTGGACTAGTTTTGTTTGTGGTGTAGTTAAAATTGTGTCTAAATTAACTGTGGTGTATCTAAATTAATATCATTGTGAATGTATGATCACCAGAAAATGCGTTGGAGGGTCTCTCTCCCCAGAATGAGCTGTCAGAATGTCCACAACTGCTTATAATGATACCAGCGTGGCCTGAGACGCGCCGGTGACTAAGAGGAGGATTTATCCTCAAAGGTCACCTATCATCGGTTGGAGGGACGACGGTCCTGCCACTGGCTCTTTGAAGTCAGCTGGGATTTACCACTCTGTGGTGTGATGTTCTGGTTCTA